GGTGTTGGCGAGCTCTCTTCTGTGCAGGGCAGAGCTAGCTGCAAAGGCCAGGGAGCACGGTATCCCAAAGGACCAGAAGATGCAGCGTGGTGGAACCCTCACCCCGCCTGCAGAGGGAAATTCTAGTCTTTTACTACCAAGCAACTCTACTTCTGATAAGCTTTCTTATGCCACTGCTCCCCAAACACGTTCTTTCTCGCTATCCACTTTTACTGTTCTTACTACTCACGTCAACATTTTTACTGCTTCCCAAACAGTTATGTTATTAATGACTTGATCCCTAGAATTCCAATCCATGGAGCTGTTTGGAAACCATGACAGTTTTAAAAGCCGCTAAGAATGATTAAAATCAGCTGAGAAAGGGATACATGTTCATACACTGGTCTGGGAATACTAGTTGATTTTGTAGGGGTCCCATTTAAACTGTTATTCTCAACTGGCTATGAGGTGCGGGAGGAAGCTCAGGCGGTGCTAAGCTGAGCTGAGACTCCTTCTTCAAGGCCTGTCTGTCATGCTGGGGTCCCAGCTTGTTGGAACAGAAATCCACCTGCCTGGGCTGGGTCCCAGCTATGTGGGGTGGATTTTAACTGCTTCGGAATATGAGAGTTTAGATGAGAAGTTCAAATGGATGGGAATATTTATTGGCTCTTCCTTCTGCTCAGCCAGGAGGCCAGCTCCAGTGAGGTTACTATGAGCTGCGTGGACCTAGGCTGACCCCCTCCTGACCTTAAGGAGAAGGCTGTCACGACGGTGACCTAGAGAGGTCGCTAGTCTGAGGCCGTGAAGACATGACTAACCAAAGATGTCCTGGGCAGGGTCATTCCCCTGAAATGTACATTCCGATCTTCCCCATCACGACCAGGCATAGATAGGATGCCAGAGAGACAGAACCAGAGGAAGGACCTGCCCTGCCCCTCACTTCACCGAGGCCCGGAGAGCAGGGCCTTATCTGCTCACAGGGACAGTGTGGAGGCAGCCTGATATCTAATGACAACAGTCCAGCCCATGTTTTCTCTTCCTCCTCCCCAAGCTCGTGGACCCTCCAGGGGTTACCCTTTGTATTTTGCAGATCCTGGCGGCCACCATCGACAACAACCAGGTCATTCTGGAGATTGACAACGCCCGGCTGGCTGCGGACGACTTCAGGCTTAAGTGAGTTCATTGTCCTCACTGGCCTTTCCAAACCGTCTTTTATTTGAGAGCAATGCTCATGTGAACAGTGAAATCGGAGCATCCCAGGAGTGAAGGTCTTGGAGAAGTAGCAGAGTCCAGTGCAGAAGTAGGGGAGGGTCTAATATCATTTCTGTGTTGCTTCTCCAATTAAAAAAAAAAAACAAACCTTTAGGTATGAGAACGAGCTGACCCTGCGCCAGAGCGTGGAGGCCGACATCAACGGCCTGCGCCGGGTGCTGGACGAGCTGACCCTGTCCAAGACCGACCTGGAGATGCAGATCGAGAGCCTGAAGGAGGAGCTGGCCTACCTGAAGAAGAACCACGAGGAGGTGAGGGCCGGCAGGGGCCTGCCAGGGCTGAATCACCTCCAGCGAGAAAGGGGAGCAGCCAGACCCAGCCCTCTGCTGTGGGACCTGGAAGCGCTACCCAGAACGTGCTCGTGGCCCTCAGAGCCAAGGCGGGGGTGGGGTGCGGGGGGAGGATGAGGAGCATCACACATCTTCCTCTTCCATCCTTATAGGAGATGAAGGAGTTCAGCAGCCAGGTGGTAGGTCAGGTCAACGTGGAGATGGACGCCACCCCCGGCATTGACCTGACCCGCGTGCTGGCCGAGATGAGGGAACAGTACGAGGCCATGGCGGAGAAGAACCGGCGGGACGCTGAGGAATGGTTCCACGGCAAGGTGCCCGGCCTTCTTACCCCGTGGAGCCGGGGGCTGCCAGGGCCTTCCACGGGGCTCCTCCATAACCTTCTTCCTCCTCTAATTTCAGAGTGCAGAGCTGAACAAGGAGGTGTCCTCTAGCACCGCCATGATCCAGACCAGCAAGACGGAGATCACGGAGCTGAGGCACACGCTCCAGGCCCTGGAGATCGAGCTGCAGTCCCAGCTCAGCATGGTACACCCGCTGCCCACTGCCCTCTGCCCGGCGGCCCCACCACCCCTAGGCCTCTGCCTGGCCTGGCTCCCTTCATCACTTCTTTGTTGCCCCACCAGAAAGCCGGGCTGGAGAGCACGGTGGCGGAGACTGAGTGCCGCTACGCCATGCAGCTGCAGCAGATCCAGGGGCTCATCAGCGGCCTGGAGGCTCAGCTGAGCGAGCTCCGTAGTGAGATGGAGTGTCAGAACCAGGAGTACAAGACACTGCTGGACATCAAGACGCGGCTGGAGCAGGAGATCGCCACCTACCGCAGCCTGCTGGAGGGCCAGGATGCCAGGTAAGGCCTCTCAGGTCTCTTGGGAAAGTGACCACAGGACCCTTGGACAGCCGAGCAGGTGGGGCCTTAGGGATCAGGTCCTCATGGCCCACATGGAAGGGGACCTTCTGAGCTTAAACAGACTGGATGTAGATCCAGGACCAGAGCTCCCTGTTTTCTAGAATCAGATTGTGGGGGCATTTCCTCAAGCAGGCTGCAGAGTCCGTCCCTTTAAGCTTTCTGGTTTGGGCCTCTGGATTAGACAGGCAGGAATAGGGGCCATGGACAGAACATCTCATATTGGAAAAACTATTACCTTGGGTTCAGGTCAGCTGACCAAAGCTATAAACGTGGTGATTTAACTCCCTTCAGACCATTTGCAGGGACCAGGCCACCCTTGTGGGCTCAGGGGGAGTAGAGGTGGCGGGGGAGAGTACCAAATGGACCAGAGGGAGGACAAAACTTCTGGCAAACGTCCTGGATTTGGGGCAAATATTATCTCCTCCTGAGGCCTCACCGACAGCAGACAGACCTGGCAGGCACCAGGTGCTGCCCCTTGGGCTTGGGGCAGAGTTGGTAAAAAACCCAACTCAGGGGCTCTGAGTGATGATCTGAGTAGCTCCCTCCGCAGACAGGTGAGCAACTGTCCTCGGGGGGCCTTCTGCTCACATGACCTCTCTTCTCTCTCCCAGGATGACTGACATACCCTCCTCGGGAGGTAAGGAAACAACCTGGGGAGAGGGGCGAGTCCGGCTCCTGTTCAGCGCCCTGGGGGGCTGGGAGAGAGACTGTGCTGGACTCCCCAGTGTAGGGAGGGAGGGAGGGGGCTCTGGTGGACGTGGTCATTTGCTCGTCTGTTTTCTTTGCAAAATAGCTGGCTCTGTCCCACTGAGCCACTGGGATACTTTGGAGAGAGAGAGCCACCTTTGGGGACAATAACCTGAGTCCTTATCAACTAACCTCCAACCTGCGCCGTGGGGGCGTGGGGCGTGGGGCCCTCCCGGGGGACCCTGACCTGCCGAGGTCGGTCTTCTCCAGCTTGAGTGTGTCTTGCCCCATCCATTTCTCAGGAAGCACCAGCACCGCGGTCACCACCACCACCTCCACTTTGGGTCGCCGCACTTCAGACACCCGTAGGCTTTAAATCCACTCAGCATCCTCTTCCTCTGTCTTCAGCATCCAGAGGAGAGAGCTGATGGGTCCCTGCAGGAGAGGGAGAGACCGCAGGATGCTCCCCCGCCCCACGCTTTCCAGAGGGCGGGCGCTCCGTGCTTCTCTCCTTGTGCGCTTCCTCTTCTCCCTTACCTGGCTACTCTGCCTTCTCAGCTTCTCTACTAACAAGAAAAGATAATTCAATAAAGTTTCCTGCCTTTTTGCAAACGTATTTTTGATTCTGGCCTGGTTTCTGAGGGCAGCACCTGCCAAGACCCTGATTTGGGACGGTGGGAGAATGGGTGCCATTGGGTCAAGTGGCTCCCCCTGACAAGGTCTGGCCCAGGGAGCTCCCAGCTGGGAAGGACACAGGCACCTGGGTCAACCATCAGGGCACAGACACGGGTGGCTCATGGATGAGGGTGCTCAGCAAACATGGACAAATGGAGCAAACTGTAGACATGGGGGGACACATGAGCCAGTTCAACACCCTGTAGGATGTATGGCCAGCAACAGGGTTCTTGTAGCGTCAGGTGATGGAAAGAGGTACAGAGGGCTCTGGGGCAGGCTTTGAGGGGTCAGTGCAGGGCTGATTTAAGGGGGAGACCCAGGACAATTACCCCAGGCCCAACCTGCTGCCTCCCTGTTTTCTGCAGAGCACCCCCCCCTTTTTTTTTGCGAATGTCTTTTATTTTTTATTTTATTTTTTTATTCTTATGTTAATCCCCATACATTACATCATTAGTTTTAGATGTAGTGTTCCATGATTCATTGTTTGTGCATAACACCCAGTGCTCCATGCAGAATGTGCCCTCCTCAATACCCATCACCAGGCTAACCCATCCTCCCACCTCCCTCCCCTCTAGAACCCTCAGTTTGTTTTTCAGAGTCCATCGTCTCTCATGGTTCGTCTACCCCTCCGATTTCCCCTGCTTCATTCTTCCCCTTCTGCTACCTTCTTCTTCTTCTTCTTTTTTTCTTAACATATATTGCATTATTTGTTTCAGAGGTACAGATCTGAGATTCAACAGTCTTGCACAATTCACAGCGCTTACCAGAGCACATACCCTCCCCAGTGTCTATCACCCAGTCACCCCATCCCTCCCACCCCACCCCCCACTCCAGCAACCCTCAGCTTGTTTCCTGCGATTAAGAATTCCTCATATCAGTGAGGTCATATGATACATGTCTTTCTCTGTTTGACTTATTTCGCTCAACATAATACCCTCCAGTTCCATCCACGTCGTTGCAAATGGCAAGATCTCATTCCTTTTGATGGCTGCATAATATTCCATTGTATATATATATACCACATCTTCTTTATCCATTCATCTGTCGATGGACATCTTGGCTCTTTCCACAGTTTGGCTATTGTGGACATTGCTGCTATAAACATCGGGAGCACCCCCCTTTTTTTAAAAAAGATTTTTTATTTACTTATTTGACAGAGAGAGACACAGCGAGAGAGGGAACTCAAGCAGGGGGAGCGGGAGAGGGAGAATCAGGCCTCCCGCTGAGCAAGGAGCCCGACGTGGGGCCCCATCCCAGGACCCTGAGATCATGAGCTGAGGCGAAGGCAGATGCTTAACCGACTGAGCCACCCAGGCGCCCCCAGAGCCTTTGCTTTTAAGATGATGGACATCCAGACCTTCAGTTGCCCCTAGCCCCCGGCCTACCCTAAGATCCTGCCATTCCAACCCACTCAAAGTGAGCTGACCTTCCTCCCCAATTCCCCTCTGCACTCCTGTGCCCCCTGCCTCTCTCTGTGTCCCAGCTCAGATTTACAACCTCCTCTTGCTTGGCTCGCTCCTTCCATGGAGTCTGGCACAGGCACACTTCTCTTTCTCCTTTTCACGACCCCTTGGCTTGTCTGGGACATGTCCTTGGTCACAAGTGCCAATACATTCTGATGACACTCCAGGGAGGCCCCTCTCCTCCACACCAGACTCTCGTGCCCAGTTGCACTGGCCATTGCCTCCTCAAATCTACTTGTCGGAAGGAGTGCCCCTCATTCTCCCAGATCTGTGCCTTCCTGATTCCCCATTCCAGAGGACCTGGAAACCCAAGCCAGGAGCCCAGGAGTCCCCTTGGCCTGCTCACTCCCTACTCCCCTTCCACGTCTATCCCATGGATGCTGTTAGCTATGATGTCCTCACAGCCTCCCTGGCCTTCCTGCCTCCAATTTGAGCTTCCTCTGCATCCTTGCTCCACACTCCAGTGGGGACGATTGCTGGGAATGGAAAGTCTTCCTCCTGGCCTAGCGATGCTTTCAAAGCTACCCCCGGCCACTGAGGAAAACACCGACTCCTCCCTGGCAGAGGGGACCCTGGGCCTCTTCCTGCCTCTCTCCAGCCCTGAATTCTATAATCACTTCCTCTCACCCCCTGCAGTCTTGCCACTGCAAACCGCTCTCGGTGACCCAGCCATGTGGTCGGGAACCTCTGGACTTTGTTCAGTGAGTGACCTCAGTCTGACCTTCCTCCTCTCTTGCTCTCTGCACCCCCATCTTTGTGTTATTGCAGACTACCAGGTTTTAGTTCAACATTCACACTGAGATGAACACGCCCCCTCTGTGGCCCTCGGGTAGTGTGGGTGTGTTCAGGTGTGTGCAGGTCCGCGCCGCACAGCATTGACCATGTGCTTGGAGGGCGGGGCTGTCTTTCTGTCTCCGGACCAGCCTGCCCCTGGGCTCAGCCCCACGTACCGGAGGCAGAGATGGATGAATGAACTGGGCAGTGCCTGTCTGATGCTATCTAGTTTCTGCCACGGGGTTTAGGCCAGAGCATAGGTGGGCTCTGCCGCCCCTGCCAGCTTCCCCCTTTTCTGCCTCCTCATTTTCCCCTTTCCCCCTCCCCAGGCCCCTGCACAGTTTATTCCCCTCATTCTTTGTTCTCCTTCTCCTCCTCCAATCACAAGCCTGCTGTGGGCTCAGCTGGCTGGCTTAATCCCACAGGAGTCACTCAGAATGGCCCACCTGGCTGACTAAGCCAGATGGTTCCAGATCGCACCCCACGGCAGAACAGGCGGGGCTGGGTTCTAGCTCCCGCGCCCAGAACTGTGCTCGAGCTGAGGCGTCAAAGGGAAACAGGACCTGGCCTCCTCTCCCGAAAGCTTTGTACCTGTCTGTGGTTCGGTTTTGTCAGCAGCTGTTTGTTGAATGCCCGCTGTGTGACAGGCACTGTGTGGGGGACCTGGACAGAAGGGCAAAAGGTGGCGTCTTTCTTCAAGGAGCTCACGGACGGACTGACGGACGGGGCAGAGGGAGGAGACACCCCCAACAATAAATGATTGCAACCTTCAAAGCTCAGCTCATGCTTCACCCTCTCTGGTCTCCCCCCACCACTCCCAGCATTCCCAATCTGTCCCCAAAGCCTCCAGTGCCTCCATCTGTCCCCATGTGTTGATGACCATCGCAGCAATTATTGGAGAGCAGGGCGTGAGGGCCCCATGCTCTGGAGCAACATCTGTGTGTCCAGCTCTGCCACATGCTCTGTTCCTAACCCTGGCCAAGAGACTTAGCTCCTGGGCTCACTTTCGTCACCTGCCCAGCCCTGCCTCCCTGGGAGGCTAGAAAATCAGTCCTCGGCACATAGCAAGGACTCAGTAAGAGAGCTTTCCGACTCTCTTCCCTAACCGTGAGTTCTTGCAGGGCAGTTCTTTGTAGTCCTCATCCTCATACCCAGAATGTTCTAGGAGCTCAATAAACCTGCTGGATGGAGGACGAGAGAGTGGATAAAGGCCAGCCATGGGGCTGAAAGAAGTAAGGAGGCACATTGCACTGAGATCACCCAGAGAAGGGGTGTCCCCCAGGCTGAGGGAGGGACCCGGGCCAGAGGAGCTCCTCAGAGCTGAGCCCTGTGGCCGGTCCAAGGCTTCCAGGGTCCATATCCCAGGCTTGCTGGGCCAGGAGCAGCCCTCTCCCAGAGACCCAGGCCAAGGCTCTTTAGGGGGCAGCCCCCTCCTTTTCTGAGCTTGTGTTGAAGAGCCTAGTGGGGTTTGAGGTTAGTGGTCCATGTGGAGCAGTGAAACGAGCTGGACCCTGGGCCCAGTGGGGGCTCTGGTCTGGGACCCTTTCACCCAGACCCCAGGGAGGACACTGAGAAAGCTGGGCTCCACCCAAGGGCTTCTGTGGCCCTATTGGGTGTCCCAGGGAAGCTGGGAGGGAAGCCCAGGAGGGGCTGCGCAAGCCAACCCAGGAGCCTTCCCGAACTGGGAGGAGGTGGTCACCTCAGTAGTGCTGTCTGAGGGGTGGGACTTTCCATCCGGGACTCAATTTTCTCCCCTGTCATCTGCAGGGGGTGGCCACTGGAGGGGGGACAGCTTTATCAGGGCTGCTGGGTCCATATTTCCCTCCCTGGTTCGCTAGGTGCCCCCACCCACCCCAGGCTCACACCCCTGCTTCCCAGCGCCGCGGCTACGAGCGTCCGGCTAGGCTCTCTGTCATGATTGCCACTGAGCACACGTGAAGGCAAGAGATGCCACACAGAGGGGGTAAAAATAAAGGGGGGAGGAACAATATGGCTAGCACTAGACTCTTTACAGAGCTCCTTTTCATTCTTTATTTCATCTTTCTAACAAGCCCATGAGTTGGCACCGTTGTGCCCATTTTACACATCTGAAGACTGAGGACCAGACTGGTGAAGTGGCCTATCGTGAGAGCAGGGATCCGTGTGCCAGTGTGCTTTCCAAGACTGTGGTTGGCCTTCTTTCAAAGTCAGGCAATCAGCCCTGGGAATCTAGGGAAAGAAATGAGGCTCTCTTCTAAGCCCCGATGCTCAGGGGACAAAGGCATCAACCTTGGAATGTTCCTGTGGCGTCCCAATGCCCCAGAGCTGCTCAGGCTCCGGAGGCAAGCACCACCACACGGTAGGTGCTGCACAAGGGTGGCTAATTGCTGTGTTGCCTCTGTGGTTCCAGGCTCCCTGGGCCACCTTGCTCCTTACCCGCAGCAAGGGGTGCCTCCCTCTCCCTCAGGCTCCACCCCTTGGATGCGGCAGTGAACTTCTGCCCCTCCCTGATGGGGTTGCATGTCCTGCCTGGGCCCTGCAGGGGGCAGGCTCACCCCAGGAAGCAGATCAGCTCGTCTTCGGCCACCTGCTGGGACCCACGGTGGAGGAACAGAGCCCCAGACCTGATCCTATCTGGGCTTGGTCTTGACACATGGC